GCTTCCTGCTGTGCTGACGGCACGGTGTTCTCTTCATACTTGTAACCGATAGCGGCCTTTTGGGCAGCAAGCCTAATGGCAGCAATAAGAATGAAATGCAAGAGTCCTCTAGACACACAAACACATGTATGCAGCATTCATGTACATGCTCATAGTGCAATGTATACATTCACATACAGGTGCATAGTGCAATGTATACATTCTAGGGGTGAAACGAGTATCTATTTTGACCAACCGATCACTCATTCATAATATTCGATCGAGTATCCGATTATTTCGAGTATTTTATCAAAATTCAAAAGCGCTAGATTTGTGAGTTCTCGACCAATTCGGAAGAAATTATCTGTGAACATAGAACAAAAGTCGCCAACGTCTTGTACAGAGTGTAGAGTAACGATTTTCACCAGTACTTTCAATATCTCATAACAAACTAACGTTACTTGCGGTGGTGATTGCATCGTCCAAGTCATAAAATACTGACTCAAAGGCATGCATAACGCATGCATATGCGCATACCAGTCGATAAACGGTACAACAGAAGTTTTTGAAAAATAGAATGCCAATACTAAAAAAAAACAAAAAATAAAAAAAAAAAATAAATAAAACGATCGAGTGCAACATTTCGAATACTCGCTCGTTTGAAATTTTCGAACGAATACTCGAATATTCGAACTAATCGTTTCACCCCTAATACATTCACATACAGGTGCATAGTGCAATGTATACATTCACATACAGGCGCATAGTGCAATGTATACATTCACATACAGGTGCTTAGTGCAATGTATACATTCACATACAGGTGCATAGTGCAATGTATACATTCACATACAGGTGCATAGTGCAGGTATGACTATGAGTGACATGGCAGCAGGCAATGGAAAGCTTCTCCGCAAAATACTCCTAGGTTCACACACACACACACACACACACACACACACACACACACACACACACACACACACACACACGCATGCACGCACGCAAACACACTGCACGGCATTCTGGACATGTACAATGGTGACATTACACAGGGGTGCACCCCACGTATTAGTACAATGCACAATACGCATGCGCACACACAGTAACTGTCAATGACAGTATAAGGCCAAGTAAAAAAAATCCTAGTTTATCGTCCCCGCCCGCCCCATTTTTCGAGGCCGCCCGGAATTTATTTTTATTTTTTAAATCTAGAATTTTGCCAAAATACTTGATTTTTTACGTCGGCTAAGGCTTGAAAACACAGCTTCGTCAACATGTTCCCTTTATGACTGACTATTGGTTACTGTCCTGACTGGTTCTTTCCCTTCTGCAGCTTTCTATCATTTATCTGGTGGTCTGTGTGAACCAAACAGTATTGGGGTTTGTGTCTTATGAGTGGAGTGACAATCTGTCGATCCAAAGATTTTGCATGTAATTGTTTATGTACATATAACTGTTATAGCATTGTGTATTCCATACACTACCACTATTCTGTTGCAGATTGTTGCACATGATGTGTCATTGTTTACCAAGAACTATACTAGTCTGTAGCACATCAAAAAATAAAAAATAAAAATAAAATCCGCCCTCCCTCCCCGATTTTTGTGAAAAAAAGGACGATAAACTGGGATTTTATTTTACTTGGCCTAATACACTATTATGTACATGAACATGAACTGTACTCAGAGCGGTCCAACATGGATAGTCTAGAACCTTGAGTAATCAGATATTAATGACAAGTAGTACAACACTCAAGCCAAACCAACGCATCACACACACACACACACACACACACACACACACACACACACACACACACACACACACACACACACACACACGCCGGCACACACAGTACACACTTCTTCTTTTCTGCCTTCCTCGTGGCAATAGATTTCTTCGGATAGAGCTCTTCAAGGTCAATGCGCTGCAGATAGGCTTCCTCATCCACTGGACAGAAGAATACAGAGTATGGGAATGCAGCATGATACACCCTAACTACGCTGATACTTAGTACGTGTAGTTCCAAGTACATGACACACAAATCAACAAAAGAGTCGATCCAATATTATGAGATCTATTTGACTATCCAGCCATGGCTGACACCATCACTCTCAAGCCCTATGTCAACACTGATGTCTTACCTTTCCTACACTGGTTCTGTACGAGTACACGATATCGCTCATAGTTACACTGCTGCTCAGAAAAATCCATCTCCGGAAGTGACCTGCATCAACAAACAAGACAAAAAAATCACTCGAGCAGCACGTCTGCCAACAAAACCAGTTCATCAGCAGGATATCTGCGATCAGCAGGAATAGGGAATTGTGCGTTGCTCCCTGCGTGGGAGCTTGCGCTTTTCCTGCCAACTTAAAATGGCACTTGACTGACTCACGACTGCCAACTAGAGAAAACAAGGAGTTTATCGAGCCTTCCGCTCCCCAAATCTGGAAGAAAGCACCACTCTCTGCTCTGCTCACAGTGTTTCAGAGAATTCCCTCACCCTCATCCGCAGTTGAGCTGGAGTAAGTAAAGTGTAAAGTGTGCACGTCCGTGTTACAACCGCCGTGTTACCATTGTGCTGAGAAACGAGTGGGCTAATGAAATTTGTCCTCCAAGAGCACTGCAAGTCGGCAGGAAAAGCTTGAGCTCTCAGGTAGGGAGCAACACACATTCACAAGCCGAAGTCGCTACAGCCTCTTCTTACAGCAGGAATGAGTGCATGTACTGGTACTGGTAACAGCATTGGTTGTAATGTAACCAAATGCAGCAGTAGACCTAGTTAAACATGATATTTGCATGGGGGGGGGGGGGGGTGCTAATGCATTTCCTTGTATTTGTGGTGTGATTCGTTGAAAGCACGGGTGATATAATTCAGATATGGCCGACATGCTGTACAATACAACTTACGCAGGGTCACTCTTGTACTTTGGAATGATGTCCATGCTTGCTCGAACATCCCACCTGTGTTGGTGGTAGAAATAAGAACACATAAATAACAATGAAAGACACCCGGTCAACGGCGGCATCAACGACTAGAGAAACCTGTTGTCAATGCTGTCATCACTACCCATTTACAGTGCGTTCAGAAGTACAGATGCATTCTTTTTAAACAGAACAATAAAACCTTAGGACCGCATCTAAACCACATAAATCTGTGATCACTTTGTGCAGATCATAAACTTTCGAAATCTCCCAGCTGTACGGTATATCATAAGCAAATCAACTAACCGATCAATGAGAACATTGGCATCACATCGAAGAGGAACCCTGAACAAGGAAGAGGATACAATCAAACTCTGGTCATTATATGACACACATTGTGTTCAGCTCAAACTTCTTACCTAATACAGTCAGACCTCGCATAACCGCACACATCCGTTTTCCACAAAAAATATCCGGATAGGCGAGGGAAAACAGAAAATCCAATACACATCCTAGTATTGTATGTGTGCATGACATATGCTGTAAATCGGCAACCAATGATTTCTTCCGGATGGCGAGGGATCCGTATAAAAGAGGACCGGATAAGCGAGGTCTGACTGTAAAACAAACAAAAAGTCAATTCTAAACAGAAGTCTGTACTTCTACATGGCAGGCTTCACAGGTCACTTGCAACTCACATCATCCATGCACAGTACCTGCTAGTGGTACATGTAATAGTGAAGTAGTCTCACATTGGCATCTATGGTTACGATTTTTCTATCAAATAAAATACTAACCTCCCTTTCTTAGTGAACAAATAAACACTCGCACGCTGAAAAGTCCGTTTTAACTCAAGTTTTGTTTGTTGTTTGCTTAACATGTTTGACCTCGACAAGGTTCCTGATGGAAGATTGCAACAAAGTTTCTACTTGCCCCAACAGAGAGTCCCTATTGTTTGTTGCTGTATCCCAGCTAAATGAAAAGCCACGGTAAATGAAGGTATAAACAGAGATGCTGAGCACAGAGCACTCTGAGGACAGAGCACTCTTTGAGCATTGGAGCTACCTACTTGTTTATGTTCGGTAAACTCCTG